ATTAATAAAATATAATTATAGAAAAAAAATACTGAGATGTTACTTTGGCTTTGATGCCTCCACATTTTATCCATTCCCATCATTGGGGTCTTAGGACCTCAAATCAGTTTATCACTTAGGTCTTTAAAGCTGTTAGCTTCTTAGGGGTCAATTAAATATTTGAGGCCTGGTCGGGGGAAAAAAAAGCACTGGCCCCAAAACTTGAGAAAAAGGGAAAATAAAAACTAATAAACATTTACTTCAATGACTATAAAATGTAACATTATATCAACTTAATACCCAACTCTGTCCAGTCAATTCTGACTCCCAGTGTCCCTCCATTGGGTTTCCAAGGCTGTAAACCTTTATGGGAGGAGAAAGCTCATTTTTCTCTCATGGACCAGTTGGTGGATTTGAACCACTGACCTTTTGGTTAACAGTCTGGCATATAACACAGTGCACTATCCGAGATCCTTGTCACAAAAACAGCATTACCTTTCAAAACGGTTGATAGGTTAGGCATTTTGCTCATGCCCAGAATTCTCATGAGGCCATGAATGAGTGCCAAGAAATTGTAAATGAAAATGAGTTCCTCACAGTTAGAGAGTATCAAGGGCATAATTATTGTAATTCCTTGAAGTATTTTTATAACAGACATAAAGTATATGATTACTAGGAGACGTGGATGCATTTTAACACGTTTGGTATAATGTGTGACCTGGCTTCCAGCAGGAAGAAGGCAGGGAGCCTAAATCATTTTAAATGATCCGCGGCTCCTCTGCTGTTGGCCTAGACATTGCTCAGTGCATGTTAGCCATTATTATTCTTATACAGTCAAGAAGACAAAGATTCTCACCACTGGGTCAATTGGCAGCATCAGGATGGATGGTGAAGAGATTGAGATTGTTCACAGCTTCAGTTTGCTTGGCTTCACAGTCATCACTCTTGGCACCAGTAGCCAGGAAATTAGAAGACATATTGCCATGGGAAAGTCTGCTGTTAGGGACCTCTCCAAAGTACTGAAGAGCAAAGGTGTCTCTTTGGAGACTAAGGTGTGTCTGATACAGGCCATGGTCTTTGCTATCACTTGTTATGCATCATAGAGTTGGACAATGACTAAAGAGGATAGAAGAATTGATGCCTTTGAGCTGTGGTGCTGGAGAAGAGTATTGAGGGTACCATGGACTGCTAGGAAAACAAACAGATTCATCCCGGAAAGGGTCAAACCAGGAGGGACAGGTCCTTGGAGGGGGACATCATGCTTGGTAGGGTGGAAGGACAGCACAGAAGGGGAAGGCCCCCTAATGAGGTGGATTGATTCAGTGACTGGGGTAATTGGGATGGGTGTATCAGAGATGGTGCGATTGGCACAGGACAGAGCAGAGTTTAGGGATGATGTACATAGGGTCGCTATGAGTCGCAAGCGACTCGATGGCACATAGCAACAACAACAACTTCACCAGCTTAGTTGGCAAACTCCAAAAAGGGACCCCACAGTCAGATGAGTCCTATGCCAGAAATGTGGGAACTGGCGTGGAGTGTATCTGTCATGTCGGAGTGGGCGGCACCACCTTCAGGGGTGAGGGGACCTGAAGGTTGGGCCTCTCTCTGTGGGTCAGAGGGCCGTGACTAATCGGCCTGTGGGGGAGGCAGTCACCGTGGGTTGTGACTGGACAGTCCTAATGGAAAGGGGAACAGCTGGGACAACTGGAACTGAATCTGGGAAGTTGGGGGCAGGGGTGGGCACAGTCCACCTCTGTCTTCAGCTCTACCAGTGGCCATGGCCGGCTACCCTAGAGGACAGAGCCACGCCCTGTGTGGCAGCACAGGGAGGAGGCAGATAGTTACTGGCATTCCTCGTAAGCATAGCTGTCCACATGTTAGAAAGGCTGCTCCTAAGTGAGTGCGCCCTCCTCTCTGGGGTAAGAGAAGAGGCTCCCTGTCTTGGTACATGGACAAGGGACTCCTATAGTCCCTTCCGAAGCTGGTGTCTCACTTCTCCTTCACCAGAGCCTCAGCTTCTCCCCGCATCAAGCAACCTCAACAGCAGTGAGTGAATGAATGAGTGATGGTACACTAGCTTGTTGCTGTTGAATCACAACCAAATCATAGCTGACACATTCACACCTGCCTGCCGGACCTCCACCCCACAGTGGGTTTTCAGAGCTATAAATTATGCTGGAGGAGACTGCCCACCTTTTCCCATGCAACAGCTGAGGAATTCAAACAACCTACCTTTGGGTTGGCAGAGCAACTCCTTCCCCACTAGGCCACCAGGACTCCCTTAGGTACTATGGTAAGCACCTTCACAAGAGTATCTTATGCAGCTGTTACAGTTTAAGTTGAGGTCTGGTGCTCCTAGTCAGTTCCAACACAAAGCAACCCTATGTACAACTTGCAATATCCCCATTTGATAGATAGAGACACCGAGGCCTAGGGAGGTTAAAAAATTTACCAGGAAGGTGCTAAGTGTCAGGGCTAGGAAACAAATGCCATATAATCTTTCTTAACTCTATTCTGCACTGTGCTTAAAGAAAGCCAAAGGCAACCAGGAAGCTAGCTTCACGTTCAGTATCCCATTCAGGCCTCCAATGAGACCCCAGATGAGGCAGGTTTCTATGTGGCAGCTAACTTGGGGTCTGCAATGGATGGGTGAGGCTCTGGAAATTGGTCTTCCAAGCTATCTGCCTCCAGGAAAGCAGATGTGTTTTCCCTAAGTCATTCCAGAAAGTTCTGTTTCTTATCAGTGCCTATATGTGTGTCTGTAAAAACATGCAAAACCTGGCAGTAGGACACTTGCTTTGTCTTTGTGTTATCACAAACATAACTACAACCTTCCTTTATATTCCAGATAATATGAGCTTTTGTATTACTGTTCCCTCTGCCTGGAATATGTTTCCCCTAGACCTTTGCGTGCCTTGTTCTCTCGCATCATCCACATCTCTCTGTTCAGTGTAGCTCCTCAGAGAGGCCTTGTCTGACGCCCAGAGGGAATAGCTTGCTTCCTCTGCTGGCTCTAATCTGATAGTGGCAATAAGAGCATTTACATCTTGAGGTGGTTGTGAGAGTCTAAATAAATTAAAATATAAATCACTGGTAAATAATAACTATTGTTATAAGTAGTAATCATGATTTCAATTTCATCACAGCGCATGGACAATTCATGTTATCTGCTCATTTATGTATTCTCTCTTCCTCATCTGTGTGAGGGCACGGTAATGGTTGGCTGTTTGATGTCATCCTTTAATATCTGTGAATACACCCTGGAGCAGGACAATCTCTTGTGGTTCCTTGGGTCAGTGTCCCACTCAGGTGGGGAGGTGCCAGGGAGATTAGGGTGTGAAGCCCACACTTCTACGGTGGTGCCTCTGTGGTGGGACAAAGCCAAAGGAGGGAAAGGCCCAGAGTTCCTAACCTTGGCTGAGAGATGAGTTGTCATTCGCCAGAGCGAAGGAAGCATGCCATGTGAAGCAGAAAGACAGAGATGCAAACACGCCCCCTTAAATGTACTGTTCCCTCCATTATGTGTTAATGTAGTAAACCTGTCATGATCTGGTTCCCTCAGTTTAAATGAACAAATGCTAAGTTGTCTGGAATACCAAGAGGATTATGTAATAAAAACCGGTTATGATGGGGGGGAAAAAATCTGTGAATAGTACCCCGCAGACAGAAAGTGCTCAATAAATGTTATTTTTAATTCAGTGACAGAAATAAGGTCGGATAATGAGAACTGTTCTCGCTCTCATTCATTCATTCTACAAATATTTACTGAACACCCACTCCGTGCCAGGCTAGGGACGCTCTCAGCTTCTCTCATATTTATGACATTAGATAGCCAATCTGGCAGGGCAGTCTCCAGGATTAAGTTCTATTCTGATACATAATTTACAGTGAAATGCAGTTTTAAGTGGTCAGCCCAATGAATTTTAAGAAACGCATGTTCTCCAGCAATCCAAACACCTATCAAGAAACAAATTTCCATTCACTCTGCGAGGCGAGGATTTTGAACTTCACGTTACATACAGGACAGCTGCTGAAGTTCAAGGGTGAGACACCCGCCCAGGACTTTGCTCCGGGGGCGCAGCGGGCAGCCGGACGGGGGCGGGGCAGGGGCTGCAGCGGCGGGGGCGGGACTACAAGTCCCAGGCTGCTTTGCGAGCCCGTGGGCCGTGAGGAACGGCGGGGCCGCGGGGAAGGGGCTCTGCGGCGGCGGAGGCGCCGGGGCCGGGGCGCTGGCAGTTGGCGCGCTCCGGCGGCGGGCTATGCCGGGGGCTGGGGCCCAGGCGGAGGAGAGCTGCGGCGGCGGCGAGGGTGCGGCCCTGGGGGGCGCCGTGGAGCCCGGGGCGGGGCCCGGGCGGGAGCCGGCGCGACTGTGCGGCTACCTGCAGAAGCTGTCGGGCAAGGGCCCGCTGCGTGGCTACCGCAGCCGCTGGTTCGTGTTCGACGCGCGCCGCTGCTACCTCTACTACTTCAAGAGCCCGCAGGACGCGCTGCCCCTTGGCCACCTGGACATCGCTGACGCCTGCTTCAGCTACCAGGGTCCCGACGAGGCGGCAGAGCCCGGGTCGGAGCCGCCCGCGCACTTCCAGGTGCACAGCGCAGGAGCCGTCACGGTGCTGAAGGTGGGACCGCGCGCGCTCCACGACCCCTCCCCCGCTCCCCTTTTCGCTTCCGCCGCTGCTCCCTACCCTCTGCTCGGGCTAGCCCGGCCCATCGGACTTTCTGTATTCCCCTTCTTTCTCAAAGGCCTCTGTACATCCTGCCTTAGTTTGTATTCTTTACTCCACATCTCCAAATTCCATCCCCTTGCCCCTTTGTCATTTAGGGTCCCTTGTATGTCCCCTCCACCCTGAGACATTTTGACCTGTCATTCTTCTCTGGGGGCTCCGTGGCAAGGTCCCTCCCTTCCATGAATGTTCTTCTCTTGCTAACGTGACTGCAGCCCTCCTGCCTTTTGGGGTGCCTCTAGAAACCCCTAGGGTGTGGCCTTGGGTGAGTGATTTAGCCTCTGTGAGGGTCACCTGCCTTCCCTGTAAAATGGTCATAGCATTTAAATCTGCCTGGAGCCTGGGCGGCAATGTCTTAGTAAATCAGCTGCTAGTGAAAGGTTGGTGGTTCAAACTCAGTACCTCCAAAAGGCAATGCCCTAGAGATTTGCTTCTGCAAAGATTACAGCCTACAAAACGCTGGAGGACAAGTTCTCCTTAGTCCTGCAGGGTCACTATGAGTCAGAATTGGCTTCAGGACACACAACAACAGACTCTAGGATCTCCCAAATAAGGTTGTTGGGGGTAAATTAATTATACAGGTAAGTGCTAAGTGACTGTTACGTGTTTAGTGCGTGGACAAAGACAGGTAGAGATGGAGTGTTTAGATGTGGTCTGCGACTCCTTCCAGGGTGGGCAGGGACACTCTAGCAAAGTCACACAGCCAGTGGCAGTAGTATTTTTTTGCTCCAAGATTTGACTGGGAGAAGTCATTGCTTCAAGCAGCTATGCCTTACTCATTTTTTTTTTTTATTTTGTATCTGAGAGACGATTCAGAGATACAGTGTGGAAGTGGTGGCCTGGAGGCCAGTGTCCTGGTGCTGAGACTCTCCTCCATCTACTGAGGCTCTTGGAGACTACACTCCTTCATCTTCTAGTGGTTTGCTGGCTCCCAGCACATAGTGATCTGGGCCTTGGCCTCGAATGATTTGCCTCACTCCTGGCCTGGTTCCTCTGAGTTTCCACCCTCCCTCCGCTCTCTTCCATATTGCAAACTGGGCTCTCTCTCTCGAGAGCAGTGAGGCTGGGCTGTATGAAAGCTCTCTGCCAAGCCAGCCAAGTGGGCTGTGCCTGTTGCACTGGCCTTGTGAGTGCAAGGCTGTTCTCTGAGACCTCTAAAATCAGAAGTGGTTTTAGCTGCTCCCCTAGGTCACTTTTGCACCTTCGTGGACACCACATTTTTTTTTAAACTCCTCTCCCAACTCTGTTGACAGCTATTTCTCCAAAGAAAGCCAAACGGGGTTTCAACTCAGCTTGGGTTTACTTAGTGTTTTGTATAAACTTGGGAATGACCCCAGAGAGTACACAGGGACATTTGCCAAAGGCACGTGAACAACTCCTGTGCCGGATGAGTTTCCTGTGGAACTGTTTGTTGAATCTTAAATAGACATCCTGTATCAGAACTTTTCAGATGGCATTCGAGCCCTCCCAGCAGTTTTTAAATTAAAAAAAAATTACTAGGTGGTTTTTTTTGGGGGCTCCCCCCCCCCCGGTCTATAAGGGGAAACAGGACTGTGCCCTAGCACGCCGTGTATTACTTGCACTTACTGAGCTGAACTTGGCAGAAGGAGAAACCTCCATGGAAGCGGTAAAGGCCGATGGCCAAGAAACAGTTGTATATGACTGCCTCGTATAGGTTGTATGTGTCCTGGGGGCCATTCTCAAAATCTTTCTCCATGAAGGGAACGTCCTCAATAAGAACTATAGAATGGATGTTGAAAAAGATTACTAGCATTATCAACTTGATCTCTCCCTAGGCACAGAGAATGATGCCACAGGCAGTCAGCCTGGGCCCCAGCACGGGAGTGACACCATGAACGGAGTCTGGGCCCCAGCCCAATGAGGCCCTAGTAGAAAGGCAATGAGAGAGAGTATGGAATATGACAAGGGAAGTGATTTAGATTTGGGGGCTCTGGCAGTATAGGAAGGAGGTCTGAGAGCTGTGTTGTTGGTTTTTTGAAACCACAGCAGTAGTGTCCCAAAGAATGTTTTCGAGTTGATGGACTTGTAAGACTGAGCAATAAAACCAGAGTTACAGACTGATTATGTGCACAGTGAGAACATTAGGTAAAGATTAAGAAGATCATGCGAAACAACGCTGCACAACTTATAAGGATGTGTGCTGAGTGGTGAGTGGAGGCAGGGAGTGGTGAGCCTTAGATTCTGGATGGGGGTTTCCTGTGGGAGAAAAAAGAAAAAACTGATTAGGGCTGGGTGCTGTGAAGTGGGTGTTCTACCGTCTTTGTAATCTTTCATCTCTTTCTTTATTTTTAATAATAGTTTACTTAAAAAGTTCATAAAGTTCATATACATTGTTTTTCACACTGTATCTTTTCCCACTGAGTAGTAGTATACCAATTTTCATGATGTTCTTTTTGTATGTTTAGAACATTTCTTTTGGACTTTTTTTGTTTTTATAAGAAATTAACTTTTATATGAGTTCGTGACTATGCTGGAAAATTTTGATATGTAGACTTAAGTTAGTCACAGAACAAGACAATACTTGAGGCTAAGCATCTAGTTTATAAAAACAATGGAAATGAAAATACCACAAGGCTTTCCAAAAGAGGCCGTGATCAAGACGTAGGATTTCTAAGTAGGAGAATTGTCTAACAAGTTTCAGTGTACAGTGATTTCTTTTGAGGTGGTGTTATGTGCCCTCCTCGAGTTGGAACTGACTCCCAGTTGACCCTCCAGTGGGCTTTTAGCGGCTGCGTATCACAAAGGAAGAAACTGACCATCTTCTCCCTTGGAGCAGCTGGTGGATAGGAAACATGGGCCTTTGGTGTGGAAGTGCAACTCCTTACTCACTAGGCCACCAGAGCTCCCTGAACAGTAGAAGTAAGAATTTTATGATGGAAAAAAAGGACTAAGTATTCTGTTTCCATAAATATTATAGCCTAGAAAACGGCATGTGGCAGTTCTGCTCAATCACATGGAGTCATTACAAGTAGGAATCTGCTAGATGGCACCTAATAACAAAAGTGAAGACTAGCAATTGGTCTACATTCTTACCATTTAGATTTAGGGACAGATTCTTCTAAGCTTTTCGGTTAAGTTTTTCTCCTCTGCTTCAAAGATAAGGGTGAGCCTGATTCCAAAAAGAAATTGTAGGTTGGTAGGGATTAAGCTCTGCTGAGATTTAAGCTAGCTGTATATTACCTTTACAGATATTTTGACAGATGAATTAAAAAGAAGAGTCAGAAATTTGCTTTTTTTTTTTTTTTTGCTATCAATCATATGTTTTTCATTTTAAAGTGCCTTTCAGCCTTTCTGGAGAAGCTGTGGTTTTGTTGGACTTTTAAAGCATGTTTTACTGCTTGCATCTTAATGAAAGCCGATATTGGAATTTCTTGGTAAGCTTTTCTATCCCCAAACTCAGGGCTCTGGTCCAGTCTCTCATTTTACAGCTAAGGGAAAGGAGGCCAAAGAAGGGGAGAGATTTTCCTGGGAGCATGAAGCTAGACTCAGACCCTCTTTGAAAACAAGGGGCTCCCAGTATAGTCTGCGTCCCAAATGCAGAAGATCCAGTTGTGCTGTCTCATCTGACATGTCTACCTTTTGTCACCATTGTGTGGGTAGTATGTTTCTTTTTATTGTATTTGATTTCTCCCCTTCCTATTCAGTAAGAAAAGTCTAGGAACATTTTACTGCCTGACTCTTTTACCTGGATGTACAGTACCTGGAATTGGATATTTAAAAAGTGTTTTAAGGGTCAGATGGATGTAGGTGCCTCCCTCCCTTGTGGCATGTGTGTGTAATTGTGTTGTCAGCTCCTGCCTGTGCTTTGCTGGGCTCTGAGGTGCAGGAGGCAGCTCTCAGGTGAACTGGCAGTGTGGGGGAGGGGACACGTGATCGAACAACCCTGCTCTGGCAGGTCCCTGCAGAGTTGGAGTGCGGGGTGTCATCAGGCCATCAGCAAGTGAATTCTCCCTTTCCTGAAGGCATTTTGGATGGCTTACAGACTTGAAGGCTCAGATGGACATGAGTTGGTTTCCGAGTCACGTGTGTAACTGAACAGTCATGCATCCCTACGCTTAACCCACTTTTGTGGCAAGGATGCACATTCCCTGGTGTTGAAACTGCTTTTGGCTTAATCACAAACATTTGCTAGCTTGAGTAATCATAGTGTGCTCAGTGCTCCGTAGATGTGGTGAGCCAGCTCTCCTTGTGGTTCTGCTTGGCCACTCTCCCTGGGGCATCTCCTCAGGGGTCTTGGAAGTATTACTCACATCTTTTGCTGGGACTTAACATTTCCCAAATTTGTCATGACTTTCCAATTAGTTAGTTCCTTAAAGGCAGATTGGTATCATGCACATGATATCTATCACACATAGTATCTTAGTTACCTAGTGCTGCTGCTCTAACAGAAATGACACAAGAGAGTGGCTGACAAATTTATTTTCTCACAGGTTAGGAGAGTGAAAGTTTGAACTCGAGGTTCTGACTCTAAAGGAAATCTTTCTTTCTCGGTTATGGGGGAAGGATGTTGTCTCTCTTTTATTTCTAAGTTCCTTGGAGATCAAGTGATCTGTATCTTTTCCTCTGTCTATGCTTACTTAATCTCTTTTATAGCTCAGAAGAGATTAACTTTAAATGTGTTGTTGTTGTTATGTATTGTCAAGGCTATTCTGTGACTCATAGTGACCCTGTGCACAATAACCCTGACTCCTCCCCTGTTCTGAGCCAATCGCACTGCCTCTGACACACCTGCCCCCATTACCCCAGTCACTTCAGATATACCTTATGTTAATATGGCCCTATTAGCATTGTTGTTGTGTACTGTACAGTTGGAACCAACTCATGGATTACCCTCTCGCTGGTTTTCAAGGCAGTTAATCACATGGGAGGAGATT